AAAAAAATATATTGCCGAATATTTGGATCAGTGTTGCCTGGTTTTTGCGCTCTCCCCATCGCTGATGCAGTCGGCCGACGGCATGGTCGCTGCAGGCTGACATGTTGGACATGTTGTCGCTCCTCATTTGCTTAGTTCTTAGTTTTGGTTCAGCTGATGTGTGTCTGTCAGCAAACACACACGGAGACACTTGAATATTTCCCTAAACAGGTTGAAAGTAGTGACTTGTATGATGGATTTTGGGGGTGTTATTTTATTTGCTTGCTTGTTTGTTTTTCAAGTTTGTGTAGAACTTGCTGCTATATCAGTGTTCTGGAAACTCTGCCCCTCTCCCCCTGCCATGAATTAGTAGCCATACAGATGTAGGGCATAGCCTTGTATTAAAAGACACTTGTAACATCTGTGTGCTGAAACTCCCCAGCAAATAGGATATATGACCTTGAAACAATTAAATAATTATTTTTTTTCTCCTTGAAAGTACAATTGAAATAGCTCCAGGAACTAACGTGAAATCTGAGCAGAAAACTTAACTCCCGAACCTTTGTGAATTAAATCTTTCAAGATTTTWATTTATGCAATTTAGCATCCATTTCCATCTAAAGAAGGTTTTATTTTTCTCTTCTCCTTAAAGCACCAAAAGCACCAGGCTTAAAGGGACTGTCTTTCTGGGTTTTCCGATGACTTCCATCCTTGTAGGTTGAACCTTGTTTCTCGCCACATTGCACTGCTGCATTTTTAGAGTAACTTCAGTGATAAGGTTTAGAAGAACAGATGCTAATTAGCATCAGTTAATTCATCGCAGTGTTTTCTCAGCATTGGATTGTGCTGTACATACTATGGACCTTATGCTGGATTGATACTCAGTATTGAATAYGTGGTGATTTAAATGGTTACATTTGAGTTTTAAGCATCTGAAATCAAAGCCATAGTAGCTGGGTGTGAAACGGACCTGTTCGCTGCGGTGATTGGGGAGGCAGCGGCTGCGCTTCCAGGCAAGGTCACGTTTGTCATCTGCAGGGCTCACAGACACTAGGAGGGTAACTAGATGGTGTACTAAATGAAGCAACTCTTTTAAAGTGCTTAGCTCTGGATTTGACTTAAATAACAAATAAAAAAGTAAGTCTGACTGATGTTTGTCTGTGTAACTTATTTGGGTTAAAGTTATGTTTAGAAATGCTGTTCTCCCTGATCCTCCTGCATGAGGGCAGGCAAGCAGGGGAACAGGCCCCTGGGAGAGGAGGCAGGCTCCAGCTTCAAGRCTTCTAAGCCCACCCCAGATAAAGCCCTGAAAAGCCTAGTCTGATGTCAGAGCTTGGCCCTGCTTTGAGCCAAAAGTTGGATACAGGTCTCTGGAGGTCTTTCCGCATGGAAACGAGCACACAGAAAAGAATAAAAGCAAAGATGTGTTAATCTAAAGGATATATTAATCTAATGAAGCCAAAGCTCTGTAGAGGTGCAGCAGGCACTTTGAGGAGATTTGAGCAGGAGTTGTCCTATGAAGATGAGAGGGCTTAAWGGAGAGGCAGGAGGAGCAGAAGGTGGCCTCCATTTGCCTCCTGCTATTTCTGGGGCTTGATAATAAAGATTGAGATCGAGGAACCAGCAGGGTGGGTAAGCAGAAACAAACAAATTGCACGTTGCTASAGAAATTAGAAGAATATTGGATATCTCAATCCTGAGAGAAGGAAGTGTTGTAGAGGATGCTTCATAGAAGACCAAAAAAGAAGTGGGGGCTGGAATGAGGGAGAAAAGCTCAAGACATGTAAGATCTGTGGCTGAGGGAACCTAATACTTGAAGATTGTGGCATCCCTAAGCCTGACTTAAGCTCTCAGGTGGATCAGAAAGCCAAAACTGAGAGCAAGACTGCAAGAAAATCCTGATTTCGTTTTCAGAGTAGCTGTTGGAATTTATCAAGCTGCAGAACATAATCACTTAAAGTGTGGCAGTAGTAATGACTGTTTTGGTAGTGGGTGATGCCATTTGAGCCTTCCATGATCCTTGCAGTATCGTTAAGTCCTTTAGATTAATGGATGGGATAAGGGACAGAAATCCCCCCCTGCTTTGCTGATTCTCCACACAGTTTGTGTGTAGTGAGACTAGGAAATGTGCTCGGGTTTCATTGCGTTGTGGAGCTTGTGCTGGGATCTCCTATCCCTGTGGAATAACTTCCTCAGTGTCCTTGGACCACGGGCTTGTGGTTCTCCTGCAGTGCAGCCTACAATCCCAGCGAGCTGCCGAAGCAGACAGCATGCCCTTTGGAAAACTGAAAAGCCTAGTTAAATCCCCAACAAGTTGCAAACTGCAGACACGTGATACTTAAACCACTGTCCTTCCTTTGGCCAGAGCTGCTGTGTGAGAGGTGAATCTGTTTTACAAAAGCCCCTGGAAAAGGATCAGAAGTGCTTTAGGAGAAGCAGCATATGCRTATGTGTAATACTGTGCATAGGGCAGGGGAAGGAGAAGGGGTTTTCCTCTGGAGCAGATCCCGAGGCTGCATCCAGCTGTGATACTGTCCTGAGGGGGAACAGCACTCAGGTTATTGGAGCGTCTGCAGCCAAATAAGTGTAGCCTGAGATGTTGCTTAAGGGTTTGCAAGCAAAGCCTCCTACTTTTGGCCACAGCTAAARGCTGAGTTAGAGAGAGGTCAAATTACTCATGTTTCAAGATGCGTTTAAAAATAGCACAAGACTGCCTTTCTGTCTCTGCCTGCTCCTGGTCTGGAAACGAGTGAAGTCTCATTAGGAATAACCACTTTACAGTGAGGAAAGAAAAAGACACCACAAAACTTCTGCTGGATCCACGGAGCCAAAGCAACTGGGCACAGCTAGCAGGAATTTGTCACAGCATTGCCACGTTGTGCTCTTCACCCCCGCCTTTGGGGCATGAGTTGATGCTGCTGGCTCCTCCAAAGGCACCTGAGACACCTAGACAGCAATCGAGTTATTCGGATTTTATGTCTCTCTCTGTATATAAATCTCCGAGTGTGTTTTGACAGTAAGGCCGACTTTTGGTTGGAAACAACTGTTGGAGGAGAAGGGTGGTCAGGAGAAAATAACCTATTCCAAAGATGAGCCTGCCATGATCTCGCATAGATSTAGGCTTTCTCCTGAGCAGCTGGTGCTGATGACTGTAAGAATCCGTTAGACGCCAGAAAGGCCAAGAGCAACGTGGTGACAACCCACATGGCCTAAAGGGTGCAGAAACGCGTGTGACAAAATAGTGACAAAATGTGGATGTAGAGGGCAGCAGTCTGTTGGATTGCGGCTTGCTTGTGGGGAGCCCTTGTGAATGGCTGTGAATGTGTTAAGAGAAACGGGGAGAGCTGCATCTTGTTTGCCCTTGCAGAAAGAGGCAGCACAACAGGCTCCTGCTCTTCAAAACACGAGGCTGTGAAGAGGCTCTGGTCGTGGCTGTAGTTCAGTGCAACCGTGTGAAAACCCCGGGCTTGTGGCCTTATTTAGGAAGTAAATAAGATTGCTGAGACTTACTGATCAACGGCTGCCAGAAATGGTGATGGTTTTGCTCCCTTCCAATGGGGATGGTAGGATGGGCAGCCGAAAAGGGGAGGTTGCCCAGGCCCCCTGGGATGGGCTGTGCAGCTGGGGGGAAACACTGCTTCTCTTGGCCCCCTCTTCCTACTATCACTTAAATTACTTATTAAACTGTGAACCAGTCTAAAGCTTCGAGAAGAAGACTTTTCTGGAGCTGCCACGTGTTGTGAGAGGAGCAGGGAAGGCTGCCTGTGGGAACGGTAGGAGAAGCGAGGTGGGATGGAAGCGGAGAAGGCCAAGGCCGACATGACCGTAAAGCCCCCTAGGAGCAGCCGGTGCCTCGAGGAGGGTGAGGATGCAGAGCTGGGCCTGAGCTTTGGCTGGGGGGGATTTGCAGCTGGCTTGGCCGGAGCCTGGTCACTGGAGGGCGACGTGGGCGAAGGCAGCGCCCGGTGTGGTGCCCATGGGGAAGATGGTYGGACAGCCTGGGGATGGGATTCGGTTTGGGGGATGTTCAGAAGTACCAGTGCCTTGACCCGTGCTGAGCAGGCTGTGGTAGAGCTGGCAGCCCGCTTGCTCTGTGTGTGCACACGTGTATGTACATACATGTGTGTATGATATATACATGTGTGTGAGTGCTGTGCAAGGCGGGCATCTCTGCGCGTGGCCGGCGCCTCCGTGTGAGTCCRCAGGGAGCTGAACAAAGCAGCTCTGCTGCTCTCGCTGCCCGAAGCAGCTACCAGGCAGGTTACCCTGCACTGAACAGTGGTTTGCAGGTGAAGTTCAGCTGGGGTTTGGTCCCATGCTCAGAGGGCAATGTTAAAAGCAACTCACAGAGTGGCTGGGGTTGGAAGGCACCTCTAGTTCATAGAGTGATAGTCTAGAAAATAGTCTAGAGTGACCTTAGAACTTTCTTCCAGGAAAAAAAAATCACTTGTCACAGTTGCTTTCCATAATGAAGGGATTTTGCTGATCATACTGAACTAAATAATAAAAAAGCTGATATACTTGACCATGATGCGTGATCTAGTAACGGCCTGSAGGTTGTTCCATGAAGAAATGTTTTGGGAAGTGCTGGCCTTTGTGTTGGTGAGATGCGGTAAGCTGATCTTCCTTTAGCTTATGATGGTTCCTTTAACTTAGCATTTTTCTTACGGAAGTAGCACACTGCAGGATTGCTCTTTAGTACATTAAATCTGAAGGACTGATAGAAGTCAGAACAATTAAAGTTCAGCACCCATGAAAGGGAATGCACCATTCTCACATGGCAAGAGGCTTGCTTACACTGTGTATAAATCAGTCTTGTATTTCCAAGTTAATTAAAGTGCTATTTTTCAGCCATGGATGCACTTACAGTATGGAAAAAAGAGTGTCTGAAAGGTTTTCTGCTTCTGCTTGTAGATGGATGGCGACAGCTCTACGACAGATGCTTCTCAGTTAGGAATTTCTGGAGATTACCTGGGCAGCAGTCACTATGTGATACAGCCTCACGATGGTAAGGAGCATTAATAGATACTCTTGCTCTCTACATCTGTACTTGCCTCTACTTTTTGTAAAGCTCTTTGCTCTCTTCCACAGAGCCAGGAATTTGGAGCTGTTTGTGTTCACAGCACCTCTCCATATCAAATACTTTCCCTGCAGTTTGAAGGGAATCCCTAAAAAAAAAAAAAAAAAAACCCCAAAAACAAACAAACAAAAAAGATATTCTAGGAAAGAATTTTCATCTTGACATGACATTAATGATGTTTGGTGATGTTGGAAAATAATTTTTTATAACAGTATTTATAAATCCAGTCAGTAACTACCTTAATTTATGTACACAATATGATAAAGATGATACAAAACATGTTCATAAGCACCCTAGTGCTTTATCACTGTTTTTTTCTGTGATAATAATATTTTGGTCTTTCAGAAGTTCTTAGTCTCTCAGTGTAAGATTTCAAATTTCACTTAATTGAGGTCCATTGTCTGTCATGTGCATTTATTACTAACTTTTCTTTGTTTCATTAGACACGGAGGACAGCATGAATGATCATGAAGATACAAACGGCTCAAAAGAGAGTTTCAGAGAACAAGATATATATCTCCCAATTGCAAATGTGGCAAGGATAATGAAAAATGCCATACCCCAGACAGGAAAGGTAATATCCTTGTCTGATAAAGAAAGTGTATTAACGAGTTTTGTTTCATTCCTATGAGTCACTTGGAGCTAGTAGAACAATACCATTTTCCAAAGGATCTTGGTTGATTTGGGGAATTAAATTTATTTTCAAAGAAAAAAGAATCCAAGCAGGAGGTGCTTGAGATCAAGCTTAGAAGCTTAGGCTTCTGAAAACTTTTGGTAAYGTCCATAATTACAGTGTTCACAACGGGGCTCTTCAGAGGGCTTCCAGGCACGTTATGTTTGAAGATGTGGTCTTCAAAGTCAGCACAACAGGTCACAACTGCTGCCACACCAGGTTGTCACAACTTGGTGACAATCCCATATCAGAAAGAATATTTCTTTTGTGCAATTCTTTGTGAAATAAAATCTTCTCTTGAAATGTTTAGAAGTTAAAAGTAATAAAGTAAACGTGGTAATTATTAATAATAAGGTATAATAGTTGTTTTATATTAATAAGCTTGTTAATAATAATAAGGTAAATGTACCAAAAGCTGGAATAAAAATCAATTCCTCAGTCTCGAGGAAAAGGGAGGGATCAGTTTTCCACTGCCTGAATATTTGCATATCCAAATACCAAGAGGGATGGAGCTTGTTCTGCACAATGCAGGCAGTAAGGGCAGATACCAATGACTTCTTKTACTTCCTACTTCTAAGAACAGACCTTTTATTTAACTCTGCTGACCTCGTAGGTGTATAAGCACTGGAGTGTTATAGCTGTTTTCCTTAACCCCTTGCAGGGCTTGTGAAGATCAGGACATTGTGCAGTATTCAGATGCTGTTTGCTGTTTCTCTGTTATGTTCCAGTGCTGCTACTTGCCTCAGTAACTTCTCTTCTGCCTAAAGCTGGTGTTTTTTTATAGATCTCTTTAAATAGAAGCAAGAGTTAACTTACTTGCATCTGCTTGCACTTCGGTAGTGTTCAGGGTTTTCTGAGTGTTAACATTTATATCTTTGCTGCAAAAGTTTCTTCGCTGGTCCATATTGTCATAAATTCTTAGCAATTAAGATGAGATTTTTCTCAAGAATTTAGCATATGGGATGCCAAGCAGTCTCAAAAAAGCAGGGACGCTTTTTATGAAAAACTGCAAGGGAAGCTGTTGGCTGATGAGTACTTCTGAAATTCTGGCCCTGTGTCTGAAAATATCAAAGCAACTAGTGAAGATAACTGCGTCTGCCTTTAAGTACAAATTTGTTGTTCCCATTTTAAGATCAAGAATCATTTAAATCCTTCCGTTGACTCCTGTTAACTCCCCAAATAACTGGGAGCAACACTTGCTGGTTTTTTAGGTCAGGTACATCACTTTCGTCCAACTGAGAACTATAATCAAATTTACTTATTTCATTCTTGCCTGCAGTATGTGTTTGTTCATTTGAATTCTCATTTAGGAAATGTATGCTGGTGTTAGAGAGGCTTGCTGCTGGCCATATGTTTAGTCCCTGAAATCCGGTCAGGATAGAAACCCGTGCCCTTGCCTGCTCTGGGGGACTGAATGGGCTGCASCTGGTCGTGTTGGAGGGCAGGTGAGGGAGGGCTGTGGCACTGCAGTGAGCAGCGCTAAAGAGGAGAGGTGGGTCCAGCCTGTGCTGCCTGTGTCTGTACCACCTCGTGTGGATTGCAGCTAAGAGTTCAGGCTAAAGGAGCAAAACTGAAGAGCATGAAATAATAAAACTSCTAAAGTAGCATTGCAGCTACCTCTGGTGAGTGGTTTCTTCACACATACAGGATTTATCTAAATGAGCAGGGTCAGCAGGTCTGGGAATATTCCCTGGATATTCTCCAGTGTGTTCTAGGGGGTGAGGGTAGGGGATCTGAGATGGCCCTTGCTTGATTACTTGAAGGCAGTGTGTCAGGGACTTCAGATGCAGTAAAACTTAAGGACCAGGAGAGATGAGGATGTGCAGCTACCACTACATGCCACGAGTTGATAAGTCGACCAAGTGAATTCACTGAGCATTGGTGACTGTGCTCCTAAAGATGCTCCTCATTTATCTTCTGCTGCTACTTTTTCCTTACCAGATCGCCAAGGATGCAAAGGAGTGTGTGCAGGAGTGTGTAAGCGAGTTCATCAGCTTTATAACGTCGGAAGCGAGTGAGAGGTGTCACCAGGAGAAAAGGAAGACCATCAATGGAGAGGACATTCTTTTTGCCATGTCTACCTTGGGATTTGATAGCTACGTGGAACCTTTGAAGTTGTACCTCCAGAAGTTCAGAGAGGTTGGTAAAGTGCATTTCCTCCTTGATTTACTCACGCTGCTTTAATTCCTAGCTGCCTGTTGTTGTAATTGAGTACCAGCTAATCTGCACAGTGTCTCACAACTCTCATTGTCAGAGACTGATGTAATTTTGAAAAGCCTTTGCAGAGGCTATGAAGGAGAAGGAAATAAGCAAGCATGTTTATTAGGCTCACTGTTTCAATGCAGTTAAAGCTTTCAACTGAATAACTTCTAATATGTTGCTTGTAGCAAATTGTGCAGTTAAAGGTGCTTGTTAAGAATGCTTAATTTGAGCTTTGGGTACAATTAATAAAACTATACTGACCTGCATCCTCTGAGGATCTGCCTAACGCCTGCTGCTGTGTTGGCCTTCAGATCTGCAAGAGAAAAAGCCTTCCCATGTGAGCCATTAGTCAGASAAAAGCAGCTGTCTGTTGCAGTGCTTGGTCCGTCTGGGGCTTAGCCTGCTGGTTTGCTTTTGATATTGTGCACAAGGTGGGTGTGTGAGACAAGTTGTTGCCTTTACTTCTATCAGAAGTAACTGATAGCATCAGTCACTATCAGTAAGTGACTTACAGGGATGTAAGCCTTTTGAAATAGATCTTGCTTCTCTTTGGGGATTTTTGGTCTGTTTTTGTTTTTCTCTCTTGCTGTCTGTAGACCAGAGAGATACCTGTTCTTTCCTCTTTTCCCGGGTATTTGTTTACCTCAGAAAACCACATTTGACCCAGGAAATCCAAGGCATTTCTCTCCAGTACCCTGCCTGCCGCATGCCTGTGAATGGAGAAATTGTTTAGGGTTAATACACTCCTGTGAAAAGGACCCCAAGCAAATACCATGTTGACCCCAAGCAAATACCATGTTTTTAATGTGCCAGCCTGGCTGCAGGGTCTTATTGGCACGAGTGAAGTGGAGATTTCTCAGTTGGCGCTGCTGTAGTGCTTGGTGTTCTCTGCACCATCTCTGCTCTGAAAAACCATCGTTTGTAATTAGTGGGGTCAGAGTCGGCGGTGCTGTGTGGGAGCACGTGGCCCTTCTTGCCCCGAGAGGTRGCTGCTGAGCACTGGGGCCAAGGAGGGCGCTGAACTGGATGGAAGGGGATGCGAGCCCAGGAGATGGGGTGGCTGCTGAGCAGTGTCTTTTGGCACTGCTGTCCAGCGGTTGTGTTTGCTTTAAAGAAAACTGCAGTCACTGCCTAACCTGTAGCAGTGCCTCTGTGGAAGTCTGAAGCTGAGTGTGCTTGACTGCCATTCTGAAATGCAGATTTTCTTGCAGAGTGGTAGCAGAATAGTAGGGCTGGGTTTTAACGCTTGAAATGGGTGTTTTTGCCCATCACTTTCCAACCTCCCTTTCAACTGGCCGTGTCTACAGGTTGCTGTGTGTAGTGCGACATTTCAGGAGCTATTTAGCCTCAGCCAGTTGCAGAGGACACTTTTCATGGCTATGATGTTTCTCTAGGTGTTCTTATTTAAAAGCAAGGATCATAAAGCATCATAGCCATAAAACTGCTGGGGTGATGGGGTGTCTTGGTCTCTCTGCTGATACTCTGGGCTACAGTAGTTGCTGTGGGGAAAGAAATCCAATATCTTGGATTTGAATGTCAGCTCTTGCCTGTAYAGTGATGGCACTTGCACATGGTTCAGAAGCAAATGCTGGGTGTTCTCAGCCATTCTGGGAGTCTGTGGTTGCTGGTAAATGCTCGGATGGCTCCTCCTGGGGCACTGCACATCACTGCCTTCTGGAGAACTTCCCATCCTCTCCTAGAACTACCCAGGCGTGGTTTGCAATGTCTTTTGTGGAATATGGCTAAGATGAAGAGCACCACTTACATACTGTTACACCGGGTACATCCTTAAAAATATAGGTTTGGTTTTGCTGGTTGTTGTGGTGTGGGTTTCCCCCCCCCGCCCCAATCCTTGATTTGTCATTTAGGTGTCCCTGTCTAGGTGTCCTTGCTGGAGCAGCGAGGGTTGGACTAGATGATCTCTAGAGGTCCCTTCCAACCTCAACCATACTGGGATTCTGTGATTTAAAACTCCTCCTGCTGCACAGTGGCTCTTGTACAAGTTCAGAATATTCACTCGTGGATTCCCAAAACAATTTCATGTGAATGTAATCTAATAGAGATGCTCTTTTTATATTATTTTTTCCAGGCAATGAAAGGAGAAAAGGGAATTGGAGGAACAGTTACAACTGGAGATGGTCTAAGTGAGGAGCTCACAGAGGAAGCATTTAGTAAGYAAAGCTTTTCAAATGACTTTGTTATCATGGCTCTCCTCCACACAGCACTTCCTCTAGACACCAAATTTGGTATCTGAGCAGTAAATCTCAGACTGACGCTGTGGGTGACACACATGATCCATAGAAGATCCACATCCTCATTGGACACATCCATTATTTGAGATGTTTGGGTGATAGTCTTTGCTCCGATTGAACCCTCCAAAAGTCAGGACAAAATGAGCTACCGTTGTGAGCAGTGCTGGCACTGGTAGAGCAGTGGCCTCTAGGGATAATTAATGTTAATTGGGGAAGACTTSTAAGTATGCAAATTGGTGCTAGCGGTTTTTCTTTAGTCTCCAACGCAGGAGACTAAAGGTGCAAATTTGCTTTTACTTTTTTTAGCAGCTGCACTGTTCCTGCAAGATTGTCAGGGAAAAAGGTAAAATAAGAACTTGATGACTCAAAAATTCAAGGGTGGCAGGGATTTTTTTTTTCTTTTTTTTTTTTTCTTTTTTTTTTTTGTTGGTAAAGCTTTGATTTGGTTGATGCCAGATTGTTTAATGGTGCTAAATGCTTCCAACAAGGCTCCCTCCGCCTTGCACTTCCTGCCTAACTTTCTTAAAATGCTCCTCCTTTTCAGCCAACCAGTTGCCAGCAGGCTTGATAACTACAGATGGCCAACAGCAGAACGTTATGGTTTATACAACSTCCTACCAACAGGTACTGTATCCCATCACCCACTCTTCCTTTTCTTACCAAAATGCAAACCATATTTCAGCAGCCCTTTTCGGAAAAAATGTATTAATCATATTTAGTTCCTTGGGTGTTGAGCTACTCAAATACAGTGACATCTTAAGGCTGCTAGCTGTGGTGCAAGCTCAAAAAAGGTTAAYCTGAATGCAAGCTTGCCTGTGCTTTCTCTAGATATCTGGCGTTCAGCAAATTCAGTTCTCGTGATGTGAAGAAAACTTTGGATGTGGACATGGGAGACAGAAAAGCTGTGCAACTCTAGCGAAGAGACAGTTTTAATGACTGGTGAAGAGATTTATCTCTTTGTATATTAAATAGCTGTAATGTAGCTACCTGAAGCTTGACTAACTGAGGTGTGAATTCTGACTCAAATCTTTTTCATGAATGATTTAAAAAAAATTGGATTTTAAAGGTATTAAAGTATTTTTGTTTTGTACAAGAGTTTGTTGCTCTGTATAACTCCTGTATGCATTGTATATTGCAATTTATTACTGTCAGAGATTTGTAGACAGTTTCTTATTTTCATATTGAATCATGTTACTTTTGTATTTCAGGTAAACAGCTGGGTTAATTCATGTTTACCCTTTGAATAAAATTGCAGGGGTAAAGTTCATTTTGAATGCAAGTTGCCTTTATTATAAAGATTGAGTTGATCTTGGTTATGTAACTTGTCTTGCATGACAACCTCAACAAACTTGACATGTCAACATATTTATTGGAATTTTGAAAGGGACTTTTTCTCATGAAACTAGCAATTCAAGAGACTTGCTACCACTGTTTTTTATGTAACTTTGGAATTAAAAATTAATCTAGAAACAAATGATTGCTCTATTACAACCTGAAGTTTAGAGCTCTTTCAGCAGTGTCAATATAAAGCACTGTATGATGCAGGTCTTCATTTCACTTTTTGTTTTCCCCACTCTCATTAACTTTCCTTAGACTGATTTTGTTCTATTTAAGGTGGTCTTTGCACTACTGAAATGACTCTCCCTTTTTATGTATGTTTTTTAGAATCCAAATCTTCAAATTCAACTGTAGTGGGGGGGGGGGGATTTTATAGTTCTTGTGGTAAAAAGACCTCATTTTAACTTTTTACTGAAATGTTTTAAGGTTTCTTGTGAGATGATGGGAACTACGACGTGTTAGTGACTTCCTTTGTACAGGCCGTGTGTGTGAGTGACTGGAACGTGAACGAGTGACACAAATCCGAGATGAAAGACTTGGATTTCTAGTTTGCTGTCTCTTTCCTGATTTTGCAATAAACTGTACCTAGATAATGTAGTCCTGTATGTTTAGTGAGCTGCTCTTGGTAATCCTGCCATTTATTTAATAATTGGGGCGTAATTTTCCTAGGTAGTGTCTTAGCCTCTTAGGAATGGGGGTGGTGCTTTTAGTAAGATACCTTATTTGGACTTTTTGTATTTGGGACCTTTTGATATTTTTACTGAAATGTGATATAATGAAACACTGGTTGTGCTGATAAAAATACAAATGTGGTTCTGTTTATGGAAATGGTGAAGGAAATGCTCAGTCATGGTGGTTAGCACAACCCCTGTGGGTTTTGTTTTTTTTTTTTTTCTCTTCAAAACTGGTATGTATTCTGGCTATTTTTAATAGTTAGATGTTAGAAGTAGTTTACATTGAAAGTATCAATGACTATTCCTGCTCTGTCCCTTCTGCCTGCAGAAAACTGCAGTCTCTGGTTTTCTGAATGTTTTAGTTGAACTACCCTAACCCTGAGCTTGAACGCAAGGGGGAGGTGGCAGTCAGCGCTAAAACCTGGCAGATATTACTCAAATTAACAACCGTGTTCAAAGATCATGTGCAGAACATGCTCTGTGGCCTTGCACAAATCTTTTAATCCCTTATTAAGTAATGAATTTGTCTTAATCTTTCTGATTTTTTCCCTGTACAAGGGCCGTGTGTTTTTAAAAAGCAGARGGAGCTCTCGCTGGTGGGTGGCTTGCTTGTAACCCCCTGCCTTCCCCAAGCCCAGGCTCGGCTCTTTCTAATTTCATTTTGTACTAAATGAAGTCCAGGAAAAAAAGCTCTTCACTTTGAATTTAAGTTTATGTTCTTACACTTGGTTGAATGAACACTTTCTCGTAGAGTCAAAGATGAATAATACTCTAGAGACCTGCCTGGGCCCTTTTTCCCCTTTGAAAAGAAAGGGAAGGTGAGGTACTCACCCTCTGAAAAGCTGCATGTTATCTCCTTACCTCGTGCTGTGTGGAAGGAGCCTGAAGAGGGACTGCGTGTCCCCCCTTTCCCTCCTCCCGTAGAGACGCGGCCCCTGTGGAAACATGGCCTGGAAGGGCCTGTGGAGCTGCAGCCTCAGGGGCCTCGTGCTGCCCTCTCAGGCCTCGGGCAGTGGAGGCCCCAGGCCGGTGCCTCCCGCCACCTTCCTTAAATGGGAGGCTCCAGGCGCRAATGTGCCAGGCCTCCTGCCAGGGCCCTTCCTGGAAGAGATTCCTGCCACAGGGGGCCAGGCATAGGGATACCRGCTGACTCAGGAGTACGGAGCGGGGCAGTGCGCTGGGGAGGAAGGTGAGGGAGTCTGTCCCAAAGGCTAATCCCACTATGRTGAGAGCCTCTCCCACTGCTGCTGTTGCTGTGTCCTATTGGATCAACTACAAGGACCTCAAAATCCACAGTGGGGGCCAGGAGGGAGAAGCCAAGTCACACCTGAAGACAGCCAGTTCAGAGAGTTGTGCCCGGGCTCTGCAACATTTTCCTCCAAGACCAGACAACTGTTTTGTACTTAAGGTAATATGTAACTTATCCTGAAGGGTCTTCTGAGAACAGAATGTTTGGCCTTATCGTTCTTATGTGTAAACACTAGAATTATAGCTATTTTTCAAGTCAAAAATGTGTTTGGAGGTAATAATGTAAAGGCAGAAGGCCAGTGTGGATGTCRTCTACGCACTCTGTTTCCAGAAGCATTTCTGCTACATGTGAAAAGTCCAAGTTTCCTGGTGTTCTAGCAACAAAGCTGACAGAAGCGCCAGACTCTGAATCATCAAAGGGCTGCACAATTGTGCGGAAAAATCTCGCTGTCCAAGAACTGAATGTCCAGAAGGAGACAGAGGAGACTCAAAACTTTATTCAAATAAAGGGAGAGTCCACCGGGCATATCCCTGTTGGGTCTCTCGGGTTGCCGGGGAACGCAGCTCCCCTTTTATCCTCATCTCCCAGCCGCGGTGCCCTCTCCTTTTCCCCATTGGCCGAGAGGCTCAGGAGTCACAGGCTGCCCGGCCACCTGCACCCAGCTCGGTGCCTCCCCCCACGTGTTCGCACCTCAGGTCCTTGGASTCCTTTGTGACCCCCTCGCTCCAGGCTCCCCGAAGTCTCTCCCCCCACTCCAGGCTCCACTCAGTCTCCCACCTGTCTGGGTTCCTTTTGTCCTGCTCATTAAAGATACAAACTTTAAACTCGTGATGTGTATTCTGCTCAAGCCCAAACTTCTTGTGTGTGTGTTTTCCACACACAATCATCATGAGGGCTTTATTTAAGCTGAATTGACTGAAAACCAAATATTCTAGGCTTAAATTTCAAGCTCAAGCATTGAAAGGGGATCTTCAGAAAGATCCCATAAATCACTAAAGAAACAGCATTTCCACTGTGCTTTAGCACAAGGCAGCCCAGCAACGCCTCAGCTCTCACCAGCCCRTGCAAGACCAAGAGTGTTGGGACAGCAAAGGGAAAAAAAACGAAGACCAGAAATGGTCTAGAACTAGAAATAATTAGAATTCACAGGGGCTGACCCAGGTCTGTTTTACTTGGGTAAAGCCAGTTGCTTCAGATGAAAGCATGGAGAGCCCATGGTGCTCTCCTCTTTACCTGCCCACCACATTACTGAAATAAATCCCATGCCATTCCGCTGAGGGAGAAACTATTAACAAAAAAATCAGGGGAAAAAAATCTTACAGAGTGAAGAGGGATAGTTTCRTGCAAATGCTCTAACAAACATGGCAGCTAGACAAACAGGAGCCAAGTTTCCTCTGCTTTTTATTTAGCTATAGCCCATCTGGTGGAAATTTCCAGGMCATTCCTTTCCCTACCAAGCAACATCAGCTTTGTAGGCGCTCATTTACTTACCACAAAAAATGACTTTAACTACAAAAATGCAAGTAAATCTGATTTGAGTCTGCTTAAACACAGGCAAAACATGTTGAAGTTAAAATAACAAAGTTGCTGTTAAAATATTTGGCATGTTTTGTAGCACTGCTTGAAATTAAGGGCTACTCCTTAGGGCACRTAATCAATTCTTATTAAAGCAGAACTACTGATATTGCACGTTAGAAACGTGGTTACCCTAAAAGGCAGAATTGCTGGGAAAAAAAATGAATGAAAGGAGGAATTACAAGAAGATGCAACCAAAGTCAAAGAACTGGTGGCCGTGAATCCCCCAAGATGGCAGGTACTGATGTTTTAAGGATCGCTTGGAAATGATTTGAATCAACAGCTTTCATGTGTGGATCACAGCATTTTGTAGCATTATCAGATACAGAAATAACTCACACCACTGCTTATCATTTGGGACACAGCACAAATGTGCTTCGCTCCTCTTTGAAGATAATGTACTCGAGCCTGAATTTTCCTTCTATGGAGTGGCTCCACCAACTTTCCAAATACCGCATATTAAAGGCAGATGTTTGTGAGAGGCAATAGCCTCAATAAAAGGACGTCAGCAAACCAAAAGCAGCCCCCATCTGCTTGATGTTCCTGTGCTTTTTGCTATTAGCAGGACTCTAATGTTCCACCTGCGCGGTGGAGCCCTTCAGCCCCSCAAGGCCTGAGGAGCTGCTTTGCATCCAGCTGGCAGCGGATGTGGGGCAGCCAAGGGGAGCCTGGGGCTGGCACAGGTCACCAGGGTGCCTTCCCCATGGGGTGTCCAGCCGCCCCGGCCCTCCTGCGCCTCTCTCCTTTCCCTGCGGCCAGGCAACTCCATTCCTGGAAGGCAACTTGGGCAGGAAGGCGGCTCTTCCCGTCCCTCTGTCTTCTGCGCTTTCTGGGCACAAGACTCCTGTCACCCCTTCCCTTTTTCTCCACCCGGCAACTCCTGCTACCATCAGTGGGTACCAAATCATGAGTCTTTTGTGTGCCATGGGTTGGGGATGAGTGCTCAGGGACCATGAGCACCAGGGCACCCCAGGGCCCACAAAGACCTCAGCCCCGAGGCTCTCGCGTAGGCAGGTGCAGTGTCTGCCTTCTCCAACAGGATCCCCCTCTACTTGCCTCAGATCCATGGAAAATGCACTGAAAGTTCTCCCAAGTCATAGCACATTCAAATCTGCCTTGAGAAGARACCTGTTCTGAGGATCTTGCAAAGACCAAGGAAATGACACAGTGCGGAAATTCATGCCCGTTTTTTTTTTTTCCCTCGTTTATTTTCAGCTAAAGCAAAGACCCCAGAAACATGTGGAAAGGAGGCRCCACTTAGTCTAGTGGAAGAAGCGGTAACACAGGGAGGGATGCAGTGAGGAGAGATGACAGGCTCTGGCACGTGCTTGGGTRGAGCCCCTCAAGGAAGTCTAGAAAGGGTGTTGTGAGGCTGCCAGCTCCCTCCTCCCTGTTCCGGGGCAGTTAGTTCCCTGGGGGCTCCCCCTAGCCACATGGGATAAAAACTTAGCCCTTTGTCCCAACATACTGAAGGGGGCAGAGAAAAGGAGGAGCATAGCGACTAAATAAGAACAGGGGAGAAAAAAATACCCAGCATTAGGGTGTTTAACATTAAAGTACCTGTTTCCCAGGCCCCAGGCTCTGTTGAGTCTCTTCTCCTTCCTGTCCGCCCTGCTGGAGTTCTGGGTTTGCCGTGGGGGCTTCAACAAAGCAGACACACAGYAGGGTGCTCACAACGCACCTGACAGGACAGCCACTTTATTACAAAGAACAAACCACGCTCCCAAGTAAGACT